TATGTCTACAACACACCATCAGCCTCGCCTTGACTAGGCTTCAGGCAGATTGCGCATGTCACCGGTCACTTAGTGGATCCTCTTGTCCTGTCCAGGTGGCAGCATGCGAGCAGAAGGTTCGAGCTGTGGCAGATGCAGTCGTCAGAGAAGAGATCGAGCATCACAGGACACCTTTGAACCGAAGGCGTGCTGTGACCCTCCAAGCTCTGGCTTTCAGGACACGCAAGAGCAGCGTCAGTGAGATGGCTGAGGCACGGAGTATGGATGACAGTCTGCTCGCAAACAGCGGGGAGATCCATGCCGTCTTGCATTGCCCTAATCAGCCGCGTGGCCGCAAAGTGCGAAGCTTTGCTGCGAGGCAGCCCTGCGCCGTTTCTCCAAGGAGTCAGATTCCCGAGTGCGCGACGAGGTTAGTGGATGAAGCAAAGATCTGTGTCATTTCTGACATTGCAGGGTTGAGTTGTGCAAGAGCTACAGGCGAATCGGAGCATGGTGGAGCTTCGGAAAGTCGAGGATGAACCCTACTACTACAGCTTTTCCCGGCAGATGACAATATCTTGGCCAAGCTGTGTCGTTGTAGCCCATTGAGGAGCAGATTCGCCAAGCATGTGCTGAGCTTCGAAAACATTGCCTCCGGTACCAAGGCGCTCTGTTCAGGATGCATCCTACGGGCAAGTCGGGTAAGTCTCCCTCCCTTGCACGTGGCAGCCAGGCATCAACGAAGCAAAGGAAGCGGCCGAAAGTGCAGCTGCATCCCTGTTGAGAAGACTTTCCTCTGAGGAAGCCCGGGCTCACAACCTATCAAAAGCACAGCAGAGAATTTTTTGGTCAGGAGACGCAGCAACGCTCAGGGAAGTTTGCAGCAGCTGGCCGACTAGCTGATCGTGAGGCTCGAACTTTGTGGTTCCAGGATTCAGCTTCTGAACGGGGAGCCAAATGACGGGCATGACAACATAACTCATCCGGGAAGTCCAAGATTTGCTTCACTCTAGCTATGACTGAGGCTCCGTTCTAGGGTGGCAGCGGTTGCTAGGTGCATCTCCAATTCTGGCCTGGACAGCCCCTACCTTCCTTCCTAATATCTAATCAATGACAACTAGGAGCCCTTTTGCGAAACCTCAGCCAGAACATGACTGACATGGTGCAGATGTCTCGCACGACTGCATGCTCAACGAAAGAACTCCTCGCCGGGCACTCAAAAAGGCTGAAGCATCTTTTTGCCAGGTTTCAACATCTGGACAGCTGTGCTTTGCCAGGCTTACCGTGCATCTGAGCGTACTCATCGTACTGGAAATGGTAAGGATCCAGCAGAGTCCACCGTGCCAAGCGCTGGCTATGCCAAGGGAGAGAAAGCAAGGTCCTCAGCTTTCCCATGGTTTGCCGCCTGTGGCACTTGTGCGTGGCTTTGGCATGATATCCAGTTCAGCATCGGCTGAATACTTCAGAGCATGCATCAGGTTCACATTTGGAGCAAGAGCCAGGGGGTATGGTGTACAGATGGGGTCGTGAAGCAGGTTATCGCAGAGGACAAGCTCCAGACTCTTGATGTGTTGTTGTGAGCGAATTAACGAGAGTTGTGGTAGCCTGCGCATTAAGTGTACTTTGGAAGGGTGGGGATTGGCTTTACATTCCTGTTCAAGTAGGCCATAGCTATGGACCTGCGCAGGAGAGGCCAGAGGCGGGCTACATCTTGCCCGCGGGATCGGTGCAAGTCAGCTTCAGCGCTGGTGAGAAGTGGGTGGTTCCTGAGCAGTTTGCACATGTACTGCGGAAAGATGGATCGTAGTCAGCCGAGTCCACTCTGGCTCGAATAGAGGGGTGCGCAAGTCACACTGGGAGGTTCGAAGGGCACATGTTGTCAATCGTTAATGCCTGCTGTTGCGCACTACGGTTTTTGGGCTTGGAGTGGTCGACCTGAGCCTGGGCCCCTCGGCCGTCTGTCTGGTTTGCGAAGTCAACCTGATGCGTCTGATTGCAGCCTTCCCGAGTGCGAAGGATTCTCAGCGCCTGCACAGGCAGGTTTTTCCAGCGCTGCCGGCCGGATTTCTGTAAAGTTTGCCAGCACGTTCACAGGGGCGACCAGCCGAGAGAACCCCTCTCAAGCATGCCAAAGGCATGCTTCAATTAGCCAGGCACTTGCGTTCAAGCGCAGGATCTGGAAGTTAAAAGCTTGCCGAGTCTTGTTTGGCCTTCGGCATATGGATGAGATAGATTGTGCGACGAAGTCCTGCGACTCTCCCAGGTTATGAGTGATGGTGGCATGGATTTCTCACCTCTTTGCCAACAGCAAGGCTGCACTTTCAGGCTATGTCCTCCTGCAAACGATCGACGCTCGTCCTGCAAGAGTTTGTTCGGCATTGCTGCACATGGCGGCAACAGTAGTTGCAGTGCCTGGATGAGGCAACTGCCAGTGCTCAGTCGTCTCCCCTGCATTGAACTGTGCTTGCTCAGGATGGCATCCATGGCCATTCTTCCGGCGTCTCTACGATGCAGCGGAAAGCCACTTTACTTGCAGTATGATCTGGCGAAAGTTGCGCGACCATGTGCAGTGCCAGGCCGGGATTATTTTGTCTAGAAATGAAAGCTAGGTGCACCCTTCCGAAACTTGTTCAAATCAGCAAAGTTGATATCCTGCAGCGACACCAACCGCACTTGATAATATCTGTAATCGGATTTCCCCAGCTGATTCAAGCGTGATTATGAAGACGGCAGCAGTTCCTGTGGGGGATGTCACTAGTCTTTAACCTTTCCGGCTGCTGGCGAAGTACGAGCCCAGCAAGCAAGACTTGGTTGCTGCAACACTACGCACAAAGTCCGTTATTCCGGGCCGCAAGCTTCGACACCCGGCCAAGTGGATGAGCACCTGCATGTTCCCACAGGCCGAAGCTATGTTGTACGTGCTCTCGGGCATTAGTTTCAACAGTTGCATGCAGGGCCGTAATCAATGCGGCAGTGACGCTTTTTCAAGCTTCCGGTATCCACATCTCGCAGCGCATGTGGACTAAGAATTTGTGTGCTATGGGCTGTTGAATTCAGGTCTGAACACAGAGTACGTGATCATGCTTGAACCGGAAGCCTGGCAAGATAGACCAGCGGCATCAGCGCTTACTTCTTGGAGAGGTTCCGTGTAGTCTAGCCTCCAAGCATAGAGCCAGAGTAGGGCCGTGTATAGTTACAAAGGCTATGGGTCGCACTAGCAGCTTAGCTGTAGCAGCTTTGAAAATCTTTAAGATGTAGCAGAGCAGCAGTTGATTGGTCAGAGGTAATTCGATCCGTGGTGTCGGGATCCGTTTCATGTTGGTGTCTAGGGCGCATCCGGGAGGCATCCCAAAAAACGAGCCGTCAAGGGGTCTACCGAGCATCAGCCGTAGCAGCAGTATTGGTGGTACTGGTGGTCAGTAGAGGTAGAGGTACAAGTGGAGGAAGAAGTTCAATAATTAAGTACTGGAGATGGTGGTGGCCACGGCGGCAACAGCGATTGTGGTGGCGGCACCTGAAAACCTTGCTTCAGTTAGCCGTAGCTGCAGTAGTTGGTATGATGCGCATGCCACGGTGTTGTCAAATTGCATAAAATTGATATCAAGAGGCCAAGCTTTGTGCGTCTGCGATGGCTGAGGACAACACCATCCATGGCCCAATAAAGCGCGAACCGAAACACGATGCAGGACAGCATACGCTGTGAACCTGTTTTCCTGAAACCTCTTGATGTTGCGCTTTACATGCAGAGAAGGGCTTTGACAGCCCATGTGTGTTACGTGTTGTGACTCCTGTATCTTCTTGTCGGCGCTGACAGTGTGTCTACCCTCGCTACTTTAACAGTTTTGGCTTGTATTCCTGAGTCTCTTATCATTCCGAGTCAGAGTCCCTGACAGGAGGCATATTCGTGCAGGACCGCAGCTTCGGGCTAGTTGAGTATGTCCGCTGGCTGCATCCGATCCTGTCTTTTAACGGGGATTCAATACAGTGCATTCCTGTGCTTTGAATCCAGCATTAAGTGATCCCCAGAAAGAGAACCCCCTTGTCTAGACTCTCACTATTTGGATCACGGGCTAAAAGCTCTGAGCCATCTCTTGCATCTCCAAGGTGGAGAAGCTGGCAAACGAGCGGGTCCCAGGCGGATTGATGAGTGAATGGGGTGAGCGTGTGGCGCAGTGTGTGGAACGGTCTTCCAGCAGGATTCCAATTTACTCAGTTGCAATTCAGCGATGGATTTGGGCTTGAAAGCGTGTAGTCGACGGTCAATGTGGGACAGTAGCTGAAGCTGGCATTTTAGTGAGACAGGAGCAATCTGCAACAGAAGGGATTTGGGCCAGTGCGTACCTGTTTCCAAGCTTTTTATTTTGCGTGAAAACGCTTACGGATCCGGGAGTATCTGAAGACACACCAGCATTGCTTCTTGGTAAAAAACCTGCGGCGATGGAGTCTGGAGTGAAATAGCTTGACATGTTCTGTAATTTTGCTGCTCGGAATTCGGTACGATTTCAGCACTCGTAACCTACATCTTGCGAGGCTTCAAGTGGACCCGCAAAGCCATGTCTGCTGGTCTGGCTGGCGGGGCTTATTTCAGGACGCCATTCTGAAGACGAAAGCTGAGGTAAGTAAACAGATGTTCCAAGCGCCCAGGAGAGAGGCCATCCTGGATGCCCTGTCGGACGAAAACATGATGAAGCTCGAGCCGTAGTTGCACTTCAAACGAGCTCTGGATGGGCCTTACAGAATTTACCACATTCATCTCAAGTGTAGTCACTCCAAGGACTGGAACATGTTCCTGGGCCAGATGTTCATGTATAACAGCGGGTCCAGGTTGAATCGCTTCTTTTGCTGTGGCTGATCTGTAAAGGCGTTGATCCAACTGATTGCAAAGGCTTGGGGAGATGGCGACGAAGGACGTGCCCAATTCTGCTTTGCACGTGCAAATGCAAGTGACCTCCACGCGAAGTGGGGATCAAACTGGCCGTGTCAATCCGTGATCGCAGGAGATCTACTCTTCAGACTTTGCCATGCAGTATGCCTTTGCAGCGCGTGGCTGGCACATCGAGCCGTGGGAAGAGACCGCGCAGATGGACAAGCACAAGGTCCGTTGCTTGCATGAAGTGCATGAGCGGGCGCGCTTTGCAGCGCACAACTGTGGAGATACTGATACAGCAGGGCTGCCTTCTTGCAAGGACATCCCTCTGACGGGGCCAAAGGATTCATCCTTCCGGCATTACTGCTCTTGCCACTAAGCTGCTTTATGTGACAACAGCTTGTGTAATTAAGGAAGTGCGTGTAATATGATGACCTGAAGCGGTTGGTGGCCTCAGGTTATCCAGGCGGCAAGCCCACCTACAACATCAAGCTGAAGAAGGAGGCTGCCCAGTGTAGCCAAACGAGCCAACGGTTGCGTCAAATCAGGAGCTGTGCTGTGTATGTCCGTGGAAGTGGACTGCGAGGACGAGAAGCTGTTTCGTCAAAGTCCAGAGAAGTACCAGCAAACCAACTCAGTTTGTCAGCTCTGCTTGGGCCCTACTGCAACAAATGCAACAGAGAACGAGCAAGACATGCCATGCCATGCTATGGTTTGACGTTTCTGCTGTCTTGGCCTCAGGTTACAATCTAGACCGCTATGCTCCCTGATTGAATTGTGCGAGTCTGATTGAGCGCAGCAGCCTTGACGCGACGGGCAGTTCTGCCCTGTAATTTTGGCTCTTATCCATCTTGTGGAGCAAGAGTTCTGCACGCGGTGACCTAAGCTAGACATGCTCACCAGTAACTCAAAGTTGGCTGCATGCACGATGGAGTGCAATCCTCCTCATCATCATCCTCATAATCATCATGATCATCAACAACAGTTTGGCAACTGTTCTGGTTTGGGTGCGCGAGTTTGACGTGCTGCATCTATGCACGGCTGTAAATGTCGAGGTTGCGCTTTGGGGGACCACGAACTGCACCAACACTCAGCCATTCCAGTACTCCAAGCTGCTCATGGAAAGGCACAGGGTTGAACGTATGTCAAACATCATCAATCGTGAGACCAGGTTCTCTTGTCAAGACCTTGTAAGCAGCCTGGCGAGTTTTCTCATGCCTCGAGGTATCATCCAGAAGTGCCTTGTTTGCTTATGGAAGCAGTCTGTGAGCCGCCGGACTAAACCAGATGCCTTTCTGACCCGTTTGCCAAGGTATTGAAGGGCAAGTGTGATCTGCCCTGGCTCTGCGAGCGAGTGAAGAGGCCAGGATGGCCACGGCATGGACCGTTATGACTTAGAGCAGGTCGTCGCACCACGTTGCGTTCTGTTTATCAGGTTGCCTCAGATAATTCCTCTTGCACAGCACAGCCATTGTGCTTTTGGAAAGGTGAAGGGGAACGCCCAGTTGAGTGACGGATGATGGCATTCTGCATGCGACTGGGCAGAGCTTGGTGCAAAAAAGCTGTCAAGGCTGTTCACCAGCGCACACGTATTGCTGCGGACACAAGCCATGGCTCTTGTTCAGGGCAGTGCGACACGGCGCAGAACCACCTGACGTAACTTGGATGATTTGGGGTGGATCCTGTTGATGCATTTGCCAGGCATGCGGTGGGCAAGCGCAGGTTTTCGTTACAACTTGCGACACGGGTCAGGTCAGACTCGTGGGCCAGCCATGTGCAGAAAAGCTACGTGGTGCACGTGATCATTGAGGAGGGCAACATGCAGCGCTCTGCTCTACCAGCATTCCCTGCTCGAAGCACGGCTGCAGAGCAGAACCAATATTCAGCGACATATTGTATCGTTACTGAGAGTAGATGGACGTGGACGGACAGCTGGCAGATCAACGTGCGGAGAAAGAAGGCATCATCTGCCACGTTCAGAGAGCGTTTGCAGAATGCTGTGCTGGATATGCTTGTGTTATCCGTTTGATGCCAGCGTATATACTGAATGATCTGGAAAGCCACTTCTTTCAAGAATGGTCCTTGCAAACACGCCTTCCCTGCTTTGATTTCAGCTGTGCACTTGGAGATCGATAGAAGAAGCTCGAGCAGTCACACCGACTTGAAGAAGAGTTGGGGGGCATCAGTGAGCCCGACATGCAGGACTCCGTGGAGTTGGATGTAGCAATTCTGGGATGCCTCGTCTTGAACGTGGGACTCAGCGAGAAGCATGCGTACCCACGCAGGAGATGTCAGACTGCACCGTGTGCGCATCAACTTACGAGGAGGCCGTTGCCAAGAAGGCGCAACAGGACATGAGATCATGGAATAGCCAGTTCCCTGCTCAGTGCTCGGGTTTGTGGTCGCGACTGTAGCTGCGTCAGATTAGTCGTTTGTTTTGTAGCACACTTGTGTG